ATGAACTCACCAACTTAATTGTTGACACTTTTTCAAAACTACTTGTATTTCTCAGGAAATCAGTAATACAGGTAAACATCAACTTTTGGAGAAGGAACGCTAAGGCATCAGCCATCAAAACATTTTAAATCATCATATTTGTAATATTCTTTTGAAACATGTATTACATGCAACAATGTAACTTTTTATTATATTTATGATGGTTGGGTTTACTTTCTTTACAAATATTCAACTGTTATGATACTACGTGAAGTCACCCACCCCCGAATGTTTCCGCCATTCTGGTTTGGGGGTGTGACAGCATTCATGGACTTTGCACTGTTGGAGGTCATGTAATCATACTGTTTCGACAGGGAATATACTCTAGTCCATTTAGCACGTGGAATTTCACTTAGGTACGCCGCTACTAGCGGCCTAGTGGAACTAAATCTATACCACAAATCTTCAAATACATTTCTTTTTCTATGTTCTCACAAGCCTCCAAAACAAGACTGTTGTTTTATCATTTTTCCCAAACCGGTGTACTATGTTTCCTAGTAGATGAAAAGCACACACGCCATGATGAGCGTTTGGGAAAACATTTTCAATACAAACCCGAATTGCATCGGCCCTATCAGTTACAAAGGTCAAATCTTGACAATCACCAACACATTCATACATCTATTCAAGAATCCATGTCCAAGTAAGACCACTCTCTTTTTTGCATATTTCGTGCGCAAGGGGCACTATCTGGTTGTTCCCATCCATAGCTATTGCATGCAATATGGTTCCCTTAAAATCCCATTTCAAATGGGCACCATCCATAATTATCACTTTACGACAAAAACATTTGAACGCTCGTATCTACAATATATTTGTATGGAACACATAAACACTCTACATTTTTTTTACAAATACGTATATATTAAATAACAACAAGTTTTTTGTATTTACCGTGCTCCCAATGGCATAAAAACAACACTCAAAACAATCTTCAAAATTTGTTTGTATATAAGCCACTGATGCATACAAATAGCTACACCTAATTTTAATATTTATAACCTAACTACCTTAACTAGCTAAATTGCACCTAGGCAGTGTACCTAGTCAAAATTATAGAATAGTAGGGTAAGTCGGGTGTCGATCACAGGGAACGATATTAATTAATTTATCTGCTACTAAATTAACCTAATTTTTAATAAGCTTTAAGTGGGTTTTTTATCCGATTTTGCAAGATCAGACTAACTTAACTCAAATTCAATTAATAATTAAAAACACTCCTGTTTAGTTCGAATCCACTTCTTCTTTATGGTTAGCTAACCATTATGGATTATCATGTTGGTTGTTATTGTATTAGTAATTTAAGTCTAAATTTACTAATATTCAACTAATTCATGTAAAACTATGTATGGTCACACACAATCAAACACAGAACCAGTTATGATTATGAATATGCTATGTAAGATTATGCAAACACAATTATGGTCATAATTTATGTTCTCTAGCACAGCTAAATTTAATTACTTTAATTACTATCTAAGATTTTGGTCGATCCTAGCTCTAGCAATTTAATGTTCACTAAATCACTAGGGTTCAAGTTCATGTAATTTAATAATCACTAAGCTACACAGAACATGAATTCAACCAACTAAAGAAACAAATATTAACATGCTAGGTAATAATAATCAATACAAGCAAATTACCAACTAAGCAAATCCATTATCAATAAGCTAAACCATAAGTCAGAAGCTTCATCTAGCTAAACAAGAGTAGCTAGATTCAGCTGCTCATAGCAAGAGATAAACAAACACAAATCATAATAGAAGTCATAATGAATGTACCAAACAAATAAACTATTGATGTACTTTTCTCCCCTTAGGTGTTAAAAGCCTCTTCGAGAACTTCTTCTCCTCTCAAAATCGTCTCTAGGTCTGCCTTCTATCCACCCAAAAGTCTCCAATTCGGAGGTTTATGTAAACTATTTATACTTTTTCCGAAATCAGGGCACCACGTCGTGGTAGGATCACCACGTCGTGGTCATCGTGCTTATCCCGTGATCTCCAAGTCTTCGAAGCTGATCGGGATTCTTCAAGTCACCATGCCGTGGTAGGATCACCACGACGTGTTGGGCATATTTTTCTTCATTTTTGGAACTTTGGTTCAAACTTCCATCTTCCAGCTTCCTTAATCCAACTTCCAGCTTCCTTTTTGCTCCAAGCATGTCTATTGGTCCCTACAACACAATTAATATCAAATTAAGTATCTTTTGTTCAAATAACGACATATAAGTAATAAAAATATTAATGTATGTTGTATAAATATGCACATATCAAAATACCCCACACTTGACTTTTGCTTGCCCTCAAGCAAAACTGAATTTTAGCATACCAATACCACATAAGACAATCCTAATCGAACCCAGCCATTATGCCAAAACCGCAACGCATGCATTTGTGTCTAAAATTTTTCCTAAAGACCCCCCCCCTATCCTAAATACTTACAATCCTCATAAACACTCGCCCACTTCTTTTGAACAATGCTCATTTTATGCAACCCTCCGAATCCATCCTCAGAAAACCTTCTATCCTCAAGGTATTTTTGGTCAAGCAACCCAAGCATACATAATCTAGAAAATTACAACTTTTGATACCACATTGGAGCTCTTTGGAATTCTTCACTTCTTGACAAATTGATCTTTGATTTGTTTGAATTCACCACCTTCTTGTTTGATTTTTAGGTATCTTCAACTTTTGGAATTTCTTCAGAATTTTGATATTTGAATCTTCAAACTTTTACTTAATTAGCTCCAAAATTCTTACAACTTTTTCTTGTAATTCTCTCTTTTTTTTACATGTATCTCACTTTTTTTTTCACTCATATCCTACATGCTTAAGCAAGGGCGCTCCACTTCAACCTTTATTGGTTAAGGTATTAGTCTAATGTGCAATGACTACTTAAGCTTTCCTGGATACATTTAAGGTTTAGGCTGCTAAACATATTGCATTCCTCAAACTAAGCGAGGTTGTGTTTTTTGTCCCATGATTTCACTAAGATAAGGGAGGCCACAAATGCACTAGAACGTATATAGGCTCAACTAAACATTTGGGTCTTCATAGAATCATCAAACATAATACTAGCATAACGCCTAATTGCTTTACCAAAATTTTCTAAGTTAATCCTAGCAAATTTATGCAAAATTTTTAATATTATGCCTAAAATTAAGATTCTAAATTCACTAATATAATCAACCCCCTACCCCACACTTATTTTATGCAATGCCCTCATTGCATAGTATGTAAAACATAAAATTAAAAGAGGGAGAAAAAGGAACAAACTCCCCTGGGATAGAAGATGAAACTCGACTGATGGAAAGGACTTGTAGCTTGCGTGAATGTGTGGACACGGAAGTGGAAAAGAACATGGCAGCCTCCTTATGCTTTGAAAAACTCCCCCACGTCAAGGGAAAGTGTGAACCATGTCGTGGCATCTGGGATAGTTCTTCATTAATGCGTGAAAATAAAATTCTATGGCATGGGAACAGCTCATCCATACCATGAGAATGAATATAACGCTACTCGTAACACGGAGATTACTGGAAGTATGAGACCGGGCTCGAAAATGGACTCGAAAGGCACCACGTCGCAGTAAATTTCTCCACGACGTTGTAAAGGTAACATAACACTTTTTTTGATTTAATACTGCGACAACACGGCGTGGTGTAGATTACCACGTCGTGGTGGTGCCAAAAACTGATATTCTGTTGTCGATTTGAACTGATACGCGAACTAAATGTGACACCAACTCGTGCATAAAGCTATAGGACATGACCCTTCACTCTATGACGCAATTAAACACCCGCAAAAACGTTTCTCAAATCGTGCTTCTCTCGACGTACTCTAAGCCTTCACTACAACGAACACTCTTGTGCCAAATTTACCCTTAATCGGACACGATAATATAACCTGTAACTAAGACAAAGAAAAAGCTAATAAAAGTAGGAAACACATTGTAAACAACCAAACATCCACCAAATTGTTCAAAAACCACAAAACAAACCAAAGAAAACCATAAAAAAAAACTTAGTCTAAAAACACCAAACAAAAGGATAAAACTCATTCCTCATCATCATCATCACCAACACCACTGCCTCCAGCACCACCCAATTGCTCTCTCCACAGCTCCTCCCAAGTTGGAACAGGCGGGTACGACGAACGGAAATGCTCCGGGCGAGTCATACACATCTGGCTCATCAAATGATCAAGGCTCAAATTGGTATAGTTTGCAGCTCTTGACATGTAATCCTCATATCGCCTCCTTGCAACATTATATGGGTCCATTGGCATCTCATCCACTTCTGGTATCACCGGTGGCTCATCCGCTCCAGCTTCATTACCCCTTTGTCGTCCACGGCTCAGAACCCGTTGCCGTGGAGTGTCCTCTGGAATGCTAAAACCTCCTGCGCCATGATCAATTACAATACGAGCCCTCTTATAGAGAAGAGTGGTAAAGGGCTTATGGGGCTCCACGGTTAGCATGGCAGCTTACCGCTTCTCAAAAACACCGAAAGAACGCGCAAGTTTGGTAATCAACATTCCACCATAGAGCGGGGACCCGCGCCCTGTCCTTGGCTGCCCGGACTGCAAGGAACTTGGCCAAATGAAAGGGCAGATCAGCATAAACGTCATTGGAAGTAAGGACCCATAAAAAGAAAACATCAACAGTGGGGGCATTTATCCCCCTCCTGATGCTCATTGATGATATTTGTGATCAAGCGGTGCAACAAGCGGTGAATTGGCGAACGGATGTCGCTTTCTTGCGCAGTACCTTTGTGATAAACTCCATTAGCTATAGCATGCCAATGGTCTTCCGCCTTAAACCCATCAATGTTTCTTATTGAAGCTGCTATGAATTGCTGATATAATTGCGTATGGACCTCGGATTGAAGGTAAATGCCGGTCCGGAGTGCAAAGTCGGCAAGGCTAAGGGATCGCCTTTCACCACTAATGCAAAAAGTTAGGTTATCATCGGCATATATCCCATCCTTTTTTGTAAAAGAAACCGTGAATCGATTCTGTATAAACCACCTCTTGGATTTCAAAGATCTGTCTCCACCCTAAGCACATGAATTGGCCATCAACTCCATTAAACAACTTGTCGAAATAAGATTCCACGACATCCATCAAACCCGATTGACCAACCCAATACCAATCAACTACGGCTGGAACATGCACTCGTCGTTTCCTCAGTAACTCTAGCTTTGCAGTCCAACGTGCGTGTACCGCGGGTGCAACATCTCGTGGGAAAGAGTACCATGGAAACTCAGGACGAGTTCCGGGTTGGTTTCTCCTTGACCTGCTAGCCATTTCTTTTGGAGAAGAACTGCATGAAATCGAGTGGAATAAGTTGAGTTCTTCGTGGGAGGCGACTGGCACGACGAGAGAAAGAGGGGGTGGTGAAAAGTAAAAATAATTTGACTTAGTTTAAAAAACCCTAAAATTGACAGCAGTTATTTTTATTGCCACGAGGTGGAAAACCCACCATCTCGTGGTGTCGAGGTTTTTCACGATATGAATTCTTTTGTTCAAAATCACCACCTCGTGGTGGGTTATAATTTTTCCTTATTTTGAAAATTCTAAAAAAAAACTCACCCCACACTCGTTTTATGCCATACCCTATGTCGAATTCATAGACAAATCAGAAGAATGAGAGAATAAATAAAAAAAATCTAAACAAATCAAATAAAAGAAAAATAAAAGAAAAGGAAAGAAAATGCAAACTCAAAACCACAGGTTGCCTCCTGCAAGCGCTTCTTTTTGAGGAGTCATGAGCCGGACTCCGTGCCTCCTACGTTGAGCTGTAAGAGGAGTCCATCACCAGCTGGATTTTATGCTCCTTCCATCGCCTTTTGTATGCTTGCACACGTCGAATGTATGCCTTTTTCGAATTTTCCTTTTTAGTCTTCGCCTCGTCTATATCAAGCTTCCTTTTGGTCCCTTTTGTTTCTAATCTTTCTTCATTCTTCTTTAGCTCAATAGGAACCTTCTCTTCTTTCACCACTGGAATCATTTCCTTTGAGATAACCTCGTCTTCATCACTCGACAAATCATCTCTTTCCTCACTTATCAAAGTTGTTGGTCTTGTGTAGGTAATGACTTCAACGAAGAACGGGACGGATGCTCTTGGTTTGGTGTGTTTTACTTGATGAATTGTCTTGATTTCTTCCTCCATTAGCTTCTCCAATTCTTCAAGATCATTATCTTTATCCATATTGAACACCTTACCTTTTACATCTTCTCCTTGAAAACCTTCTTGTATTCCAAATGTCTCCTCATCATCACCAACCCTCAATGCAAGCTTCGATTCACGAACATCAACTAAAGCTCTAGCAGTATTAAGTAGAGGGCGACCAAGAATTATTGGGACATTCACATCCTCCTTCATATCCATAATCACAAAGTCAACTGGGAAAACAAATTTCCCAATTTTAACAAGGATGTCTTCTACAATTCCCCTCGGGTGAGTCACCGAATGATTGGCCATGTGGATGGTCATCTTTGTACCCTTCATTTTCTGAATATTCAGCTTTTGATAAAATGAATATGGCATCAAATTTATGCTAGCCCCAGAATCGGCTAAAGCATAAGTCTTCAAGTTATTTCCAAACTCACATGGAAGAGTGAGGCGTCCAGGATCTCCCATCTTCTTAGGTATGCCTCCCAATACCACTCTTGAACTTTGTTCACTAAGAATTACTTTAGAGTTCTTCTTTAATTGTTGACGAGTGTCCATAAGATCTTGTAGGAACTTTGCGTATTCTGGAATTTTTGAAAGTGAATCGATAAAAGGGGTATTAATAGGAATACCCTTTATTTGCTGAATAAATTCCAGATGTTCCCTTTCCAGTGGACTGAGATGTGCTTGAGACGGAAACGACAAAGGTGGACGGTATGCCGGTACGGAATCTGATTTTTTCTGTTCAGAACGAGCCCACGTCGTGAGCATGGCGGGCCACTTCGTATAGTGACTCCTCTCGTTGTTTAGCTATCTTGGAAGGTGGGCAAAACTGATCTAGAAATTTTCTCACGCATTTGAGCCCAAGTAGTGAGTGTACCAGGAGGAAGTGCTTTCAACAACCAGTCTTTTTGCAGCTCCTTTGAAGTGACTGGTAGCATCCTAGTAAGATGGTATCTCTATTGACATCGGGACATTGAAGTAGTCAGCAATGTCGTTGACCTCATCTAGATGCTTAAATGCATCCTCATGATCCTTCCCATAAAATGGGATATCCTTAAGTGCAGTCAGGATGTGTCCCTTCAGCTCGAATGCGGCGGCGGCAGGTATTGCTGGTTGTACTAATCCCGGACCAACATCTTCTCGAATACGCTTCTTGTAAGCTCCCATTGACATTTCTTTAATGTTAGCCATTTCGTTGCTTGGCTCGTCTTCGGGTTCGCTTGTATATAGTCCAAACTAGTTCTCAGACTCGTATTCAGACTCGTTTGGGATACGTATTTGATCTAAACTTGCAACCTTGCTCTTGTCCTTTGTAGATGAGCTCGATTCTCTCGTTTTCTTCCCCGACTTCTTTGAGAACACTGACTTGAGTTCTTGTAAAGGTGTCTTCTTTGGTGTTTGATCTTCTTTCACGTTCTTATCCTTCTTGTTATGAAGGGTAGGCTCTGGATCTTCAAGTGGTGACACTAAAGGTTATTGGACCTCTGGTAATGACTCCTGCAAAACGAACAAAATAAAAATGTAAAACTGAACAAAACTAAATAAAATTGCTTACTGACTGTCCACCACAGTGGTCAAGGCTACCACGTCGTGTTGTCGGAGAAAAGTACAGAAAAGAAAAACGAAGAAAAACTAAAAACTACTGAACTCATGTCGTGAGCGTAAGGCTCACGTCGTGAGTCTAGTACTGAAAATAAAACCTAAGCTGAAAAAGTAACTTTTTGTAGGTTTTACCCCACAAAAAGGATCGATCAACCTAAAGCAAATAAATCAACTAACAATTAAGCCGTTCCCCGGCAACGGCGCCAAAACGTGATGCGTACAAATAGCTACACCTAATTTAATATTTATAACCTAACTACCTTAACTAGCTAAATTGCACCTAGGCATGTACCTAGTCAAAATTATAGAATAGTAGGGTAAGTCGGGTGTCGATCACAGGGAACGGTATTAATTAATTTATCTACTACTAAATTAACCTAATTTTAATAAGCTTTAAGTGGGTTTTTTATCCGATTTTGCAAGATCAGACTAACTTAACTAAAATTCAATTAATAATTAAAAACACTCCTGTTTAGTTCGAATCCACTTCTTCTTTATGGTTAGCTAACCATTATGGATTATCATGTTGGTTGTTATTGTATTAGTAATTTAAGTCTAAATTTACTAATATTCAACTAATTCATCTAAAACTATGTATGGTCACACACAATCAAACACAGAACCAGTTATGATTATGAATATGCTATGTAAGATTATGCAAACACAATTATGGTCATAATTTATGTTCTCTAGCACAGCTAAATTTAATTACTTTAATTACTATATAAGATTTTGGTCGATCCTAGCTCTAGCAATTTAATGTTCACTAAATCGCTAGGGTTCAAGTTCATGTAATTTAATAATCACTAAGCTACACAGAACATGAATTCAAGCAACTAAAGAAACAAATATAAACATGCTAGGTAATAATAATCAACACAAGCAAAATACCAATTAAGCAAATCCATTATCAATAAGCTAAACCATAAGTCAGAAGCTTCATCTAGCTAAACAAGAGTAGCTAGATTCAACTGCTCATAGCAAGAGATAAACAAACACAAATCAGTCGGATCAATGCGTTTTACTTATAAACGCCAACTACAGTTCTCAATTTCACAATATATATTGTTAAGGTTTTTGTTAGAATGTTTGGTCTTCAACTTAAACTTTTCTCTGGTTACTTTAAGACTCAAAGAAAATATTAGTTGTTGTTTGTTATCATACGTTTGACGAACAGACATATCATCATTTGGACCTAAACTGTGAAATGGTCCAGGTTCAACAATGGGATCAGGACAATCAGGTATGGGAGGCATACCATAAAACATGTATGAAGCTTTTTTTCCGTGTGTGAACTCATCTTCTGACCATCCTTCATTTGATTCTTCATCGTCTGACAAATTTTTGTCACACAGTCTTCCAAACTCATATAAATTTTCTTCTTCCACCATATTCACTGTCACAGTTTCTTCTTGTGGATACTCTTCAACATTATCAGATACAATGTTTTCAACATTGTATTGTACAATCTTGTCAACCGCTTCTGTCTGTTCGACCCATCCATCAAACACCTCTAAAAACAAATGCACAATCTCCTTCGTTTCAGACATTACATTTCTGAGTTGATGAACATCTTCTTCGTCTACAATATTCATAACATACCCATGAACCAGGTGTTGAAATGACAATGATATATTACTATTGAACGTATTAGCCTTACTTTAAACCAAATCAAACAATATTCGACGGTCAAAATTAGTTGGAAGCAGTAAACCTAAGTTGTTAAACTTTGGTCTAACGTAGGTGTTAATTCCATTACTCATCTGCCAAAAACCCCCCGTACATAAAATAACAAAACTCATATTTTCTTTGAAGAAGTTTACAACCCTAAAACTGATTGAACTTTTCAAATAGATAAAAAAATCATTTATATCACAAAAAACTGTCGCTAATACCCTTCTAACGACCCATTACGCGGAGAGGTTAACACCTCCGTGGAGCCCTCGTCACGACCTCTGCGGAGGATTTAATGAACATCAAAACAATCACTCTGCGTAGGGTTTAATGTCTTCGTGGAGGTATCTATGCGGAGAATCATTGCTCGGTCTCAAATCGTACAACATTTTTCGTTCCGCGGAGATTTCGTCGTTCCACGGAGCCCGTAGAGGATTCTCCGCGGAATGCATGTCTATAGCCGGAAAGATCTGTTTTTGTGACTAAATTTTGAAATACCCCCCCCCCCCTAAAAAAAATGTCTATAGCCAGTATTTTCCCATATTTAAAGAGGTAAAAATGATCATTGTGACAGAAAAATAATAATGAGTAAAGAATTATGTTTCTCATTTTTACGAAAAAAGTAATTTTGCAACGAATTCATTAAAATTCATGAGATGTAATTGTAGTTTAATAAGAATTTTTAGTATTTAGGCAATCCAATATACATGTTTTAGTCCATTAACCGCCATGTGCACACCGCCACCTAGACTCGTGAAGCTGTGGTGGCCTGGTCTTTTGTGGTTGCTCACACCATATCACAATCCACGTCTTTTTTCATTATTTTCTCTTCTTTCTTATTCACTTTTTCCAT